AAGTGCTTTGAGAACACGGAGGAGGCTAAAGAATCTTAAAAAGCACCTCATCACAACATCAAAGTTTACACAAGAACATCTAAAGCTTAACGCGAGTTCAGGTTTCAACTCTTAAAACTGGCCTCTATGAGAGATCTAGGACCAAAACAGCTGGCCTGAATTGACACCAGTCAATTATTTATTTAAAAACATGCAGACAATCTTTCAGACGTTAAGAAAACTATTCATGTGTTCAAATGTAGATACTGTAACTTGTATACCTAATATCTGTATGCGGAGAGCGCTGTAACCACAGTCATATTCTTTGATTTTACTCATAAATCATGGCTGATTAAACAGACTCCGATTCTTGAACAAAATGCCACAAAAGACGATGTTCGACAGTTAGGGGTCAAGAACATGGACAATAATCCAAAGTATATCACCTGGACAAAATCAATGGCTTGTTTCAGGGAAGAAGAGTGGATCAAAAACCCTCCTCAATGAAAACACAGATTTCCAGTCATTACCACTGATCTCCATTTGCTCTTTGGATTGCTGAAAAAACCTTAATGGAGTCAGCCAATAAAAGGCCTGTAATGTAATTACCATAACGATGTAATCAACACATGTATTTCACACGTACATAATCAATTTAGCACTTTTGGCACATCATCAGATAGTGTGTGTGTGTGTGTAATATTCTTGATATCTGACTACAGTATTATTATGCTCCATTAACACACTCATTTTGTTGTGATGTAGTTGTATAATATGTCACATTACATGATTCTAGACTGACTATGCACTGTTATATTTTTACCATAAACTACAGTAATCTCCTGATGCTAAGAATCAGCAAGTGTGTGTAAAATGGATGACTTTATTTTAAAAGTCTTAAGCCCCCCTGGAAATGAAAAATTAATTGTTGTTCGATGCTGTAGCGCATGTTTACTTTCCAACCAGTTTAACCAGGGCAGGGGTCTGCAACCTGCAGCTCCGGAGCCTAATGTGGCTCTTTGGACACTCTACAATGGCTCTTAATAGTGGCTAAAAATGATATAAAGAACTAAACAATGTACTTTAAGAACAAATACCAGTCTTAGACGCTTTTTTGGGTTTTATAAATATAACGGAAAGCACCAAAAATATACTTTTAAAATAATTTTCCCTTGAATTAGCTTGGAAACTAAGTGTTATATTATTAGCATTTTTTATATAGATCATACTTCAGTTTTATGAATCGTTTTATGTTTTCCCTTATTTTAAAAGCAAAAAATAAAAATAGGGGAAAAAAAGTTCTTGGTGATTTAAAATGGCAACAGATTTCTTATGGTAGATATTTAACAAAAGTAATAGGTTGTTGGACTGATCCAATGTGGTGGACACTGAAGGGGGGGTTTAACGCAAGGATTTTTATCAAAACATAATTAATGTACACAAATGTCTAGTTTTGCCTGATAGAAATCCTTTCTAAGGTCAAAAATGCAACGGACAGAGGAATATAATACTGAATGTTCACATAAACACAGATATTGTTCTGCAGGAACCTCTTTAATTCTGCCCCCTGCAACCAGCAGAGGAAGAGTACCAGTCCTCAGCTGAGCTGTGACCTTCACCTCCTTTTAATATCTTTATTGAGTAACTCAGTTAGGAACACATCTTTAACTCCAATAGAAGTTCTTAGTTTGGAGTTACTTAATTTTTTATTTTATTTTTTCGGTAAACATCTTTATTTTAGCTTTATTACAAGTGGAGGACAGTGAAAATGAGAACAACCTGACCTACTTCCCCAGGTCCAACCCAGGGAAATTCTTTCCCTCTGTCTGGTGAGCAGAGCCAAGCAGGGAGACACTCCATGCTGGATTAATGTCCAACTTCATTTAGTTTGAGTTTAGTTGACTTTGGCTTTGTTAAAAAAAAACTGCATCACCTATTAAGAAATACAAGGCCTGTAAAACTTCACTAGAACTTATGTAAACACTTTAAATTACACCTCCTCTGGTTTATTTCTACAGAGACAAAGGACTGTTTAGCAAGACGGAACAGGTGGAAGATAGAGTGTATGTGGGAAAGAAAAACATCTGACTTCGCCAAGAAAAAAGAGGAAGGAAGAATTTCAGCAGTGTGAAAAAAGCAGAGGTTTGTGCGGAAGAGGATTAGGGCCATTAAAGAAATAAAAAAAGTTAACTGATTTTTAAATATTATTTCAGTTTAATAAGGGACAAAAGTCAGAATTCTGACTTTAATCTCAGAATTTCGACTTTTTTCTCAGAAATTTGGATCTTAGTGTAGATGGGCACCATGAAGGAACAGATGTGGAGCACTCAGCTTTACTGACAAACGTGTGAGTCATTTGGAAGGAACTGTAACACATTGGTGGAAAATGGTGGAATTAGGTGACTTTTTACGTCCCTGAGGCGTCCCTGGTGAGGCTATTTCATTAATGGAAGAGCAAAGAGTGATTA